ACGTTACTGAACCAGGAGCGTAGACACCGCCTCATCCTCACTGGCCGAATCAGGGGGAATCAGAGGAATCAACCGGAACAGGATGAGGCGACGCCGCTGGAAGTTCCCCCTCCTCCGTCGGACTCCCACGACAAGGCAGGGGACGGCAAAGGCAAAGCCCGTTTTCTAGGCGGCCGCTGCGTCAAGGCGCGCTCCATGCGCATCACAAAACCATCCATGACAGAGGAAAAAGCCTCCATGGACAATGCGGTGCCCACAGTACCAACCACCCCCCCTGAAGAACCGGAGGGACGCATGGGTGACTGGGAAAGCATCACAGGCGTACAGGATGCACAAAGAGGGGATCTAGAGGGGTCCGCAGAGCGCTGCCCACAGCCCTCACAAGGCAATGCAGGGGAGTCGTCCCTGCGATCCATTGCACACTTGCACAGAACCATCCCACCGACTGCAGACCACCAGGCAAGGGAGATGAAAGACAGGGACCCCGCTACTCACGACCCCCAGCGTCCTTGTCCCAGCCCAGCCGTCCGACTCTGCAAGGTGGAGGAGAGCTGCACACTGTGTCCTTCCTGCACGGCGTCTTCAGGCTGAAAGGAAGACATTCCCCATCTGCCCGAGGCTAATAGGAAGCCCGGGCGGAAGTGACGAAGAGAAAGGGCAAATTTGCCCTTATCCAAGACGAGCGGCGCTAGCCACGGATGCGGCCACCCTACACAGGCGGCCGCAGGGGAACCAGAGGAGCGCCAGCCCCCCACCCCAAGAGCCCCACCAGGGGCCGAAACAGCCAGGTGAGCGGCGTAAACATCCACCGGAGACCCCACATACATACCCACATGAGGGAAGACCGGACACCATCGCCAGGATCCAGGACAAGCTGGGTACCAGTAGGAGAACGCCCCCGACCGCAGCGTCGCCAGCCTGCGGGAAGAGCCGTGACCAGTGGGCCAGGGCCCCCGGTCATAAGCCCCCCCGGGACGAATCCCATAGGCGTCAGGGAGGACCACCTGTTGCAGCCGACCCACCGTAGCAGAGTCTGCATGCGCTCGCCAGTCACCCAGGGGAGACTACAAGGATCTACAGTCATCCAGCATGTTGCCCTGGGGACACTTGCTAGAAGAAAAATCGAGTGAAACATTTTTCAGCTCCTTACTCCTGACGCTAGGCAAAAAACTGGAGACTTGTCAGCAAGCGGGGGGTTGGGCCACCAGCAGGGGCCGCCCCTAGGCTGTCTTGTCTTTTGTTATGTGCCTAGCGTCCTACTCCTGCAGGTGGCGATATACCCTACCATTCAGGATCTACGATCTGTTGCCCTGTGTCCTTCAATGAACGGGAGAGAAAAGATACATTTTTGTTAATAGTTAAGGTGGTTGAATGGGTTTTTAACATCTAACTCCTGAAGTGTCGCTTTAAGCTCCCTAATTACTTGAGGGTGTAAGCCATCTGGTTCTAAAGATTTATTCACATTAGATTTATCTAGTCTGTTTTGAACCCAAATTTTTGTCAACTATGGACATACATTCAATACATTGGTAGTAGCATTATTGGTTTGACTGTCAAACCTGTCTTTTTTTTTGTTTGTAAAAACTGAAGAGAAAAAGAGGCATCTGTCTTCTCCCTGTCATTTGTGACCAATTTCTGATGTTATCCTTTTATGGTGCCTATGTGTTCTGTCCTTTTTACTATTGATATATTCAAAGATTTGTTTTTTTAGTTATTGTAGTAATGTTTTTTGTAATCTATTTTATTTCATCAATGCTGATGATGTCCATTCCAATTTTTATTTCTCATGTATTTGCTTTTATATACAGTAGAATTTAGCACAAAGGTTTAAGTTTTGTTATTTTATATTTGTTACCCATTGGAATTCATTGGTGAATGCAGTTGTTTAATACCATCACGTTCTAAAAAAAGTCATCTCCACAAAGCTACCTTCTCATGTATCACTGGCCCCTCTCTTTTAGATCGTAAGCCCTCACGGGCAGGGCCCTCCTTACTAAGGATGGGCTTGGGCGTGTTCGCAGCTCCACGTGCCGAGCCCGCCAGGAAGCTGACAGCGCACGGCGCCGATCACAGGCACTGAGACATTTCCCGTTCTCTGCAGCTACGGACCGGGAAAATGTCTCAGTACATGTGATTGGCGCTGCGCTTTCAGCTTCCTGGCGGGCTCGGCACGTGGAGCTGCGAACACGCCCGAGCCCATCCTCACTCCTTACCATCTTGTCTTGAATTGTATTGTAATTGTAATGTAATTGTAATGTCTTCCTTATATCGTAAAGCGCTGTGCAAACTGTTGGCGCTATATAAATCCTGTATAATAATAATTAACACACATTCACTCGTTCTTTGTGTTCTTTCAGAATATTTTGTTCCATTGAGCATCATACAGTAAGGAGCACAATTCAAGTTCTCGTTTTTTACATTTAGAGTTCTTGTCATACCAACACCCCTCTATTCCTGTAATTTGCAGCAAATGTAATTACACCACGATCAGGATTACGCATGTTATCTGTAGTTTGCACATCTGTAATGAGCTCAGTGTTGTTTGAAATGAATAGCTTCCACCGTGTGACCAATGAAACTGTCCTACAATAAGTTAAAGAAATGACAAGCTATTGTTGAGTGTGTGCAGTTCCTCTTCTCCAATCAATATTAGGATAATTGAAGATGCTAATAATAACATTAGTCATTATCATCATCATCATCATCATCAACATTTTTATGTAATTTACTAATGGGTATGTGCATTACTCCAGACCAGTAAACTCGAGTCCATAGCCAATTGGTTTACAATGAAATGGTTGCCTTTTTTACTGGGCTAGAGTAAAGGTTACATCCTTTACTTCTCTTATGCATTTCTTCATATAACAACCAACTTACCAATATTTAACCAACAATGATCTTTATTTTTCATGTATTCTCCAGTTTTCATAGCTGAAGCTCATTCTTTGTAATTAAATGTACACCACCCCCAAATTACATTTTTAGTTAGTACTGATGGTTTGACTCATCACTGTGGATTCTTAGATATATAAATCAGGTGGATTCTCTAATTATTTTGTGTTTTCTATATAATGGAGAATTACACTATTTGCATATGTAATGACATGGACAGCTGGGAGAAAGTGGGAAGTCTAATGGAGATATTTTGAAATGTTGGCAGTGGAGTCCCTAAGAGATAGAAGAAGGTAACATGTGATTTACATTTCCAGCAACTATGCTAAACTGAAATATCAGTTTTTGGTGAACTTAGCTTTTAAAGGAAACCTGTGAGGATAAAAAATAAGAAAAGTGGATTTTAAAAGTTCGGTCCTGGGGCTTTGATCATCATCCTGACTTTAACCACTTGCCGTCCATGGCGTTCCTGAACGGCCGGACGGGAGCCTTAAGACCCTGTTCACATTGAGCGATTTATCGCGCGGTAATTCCCGCGATATCGCGGCAAATTACCGCGCGATATCGCGCTCCAATGCACTCCAATGGGGCAAAGGGTCCTGCTGTCGCGGGTCGTGTGTCGCTACAGCAGGACCCTTTTTGGAGCGGATTTAGCCGCGATTCAAGCTTGCTCAATGCAAGCTTGAACGCGACATCGCGCAGCAAATCTCGCGATGTCGCGCAATATGCAAATCGCGTGACAAACGCGCGATTTGCATATCGCGCAGTGGGAACGGGGCCAAAGACGTCCTTCCCCAACCCCCGCTTGTGTGCGGCGCTCAGCATGCACACAGGTGGAGAAACTGTCAGAAATGTAAACAGCCAGCGATGGCTGTTTACATTCAAGCGATCGGGTGTCTCTAGAGACACCCGATCGCTTGTAGTAGGTGCTTGTAGTAGGTGCGGTTGTTTGTGTGTGTTTCCCCGTACCGCCGTCGATCCCGAGATCCGCTGTGCCCGGTGCGGCTGAGACCGACTGGAGATCAAAGGGAGATCAGTACACTATCTCCCTTTTATTTGCTCTCTGGTCCCCGAATGCAGGAAGTGATGTATGTTACATCACTTCCGCATTCAGTGTCACTCTCCGGCAACAGATGCCGGTGAGAAGCTGCTGAAGCAGATATCTGCTTCAGCAACTTCTCTGGGGGTCCCCAGGTGACATTGGGGGTCTTGGAGCTCCCTGATGTCTCCATAAAGAGGACCTGTTATGTGAATTGGCTATCACATAGGGAGTTTCTTAGCCCCCTATGTAATAGCAATAAAGTTAAGTGTAAAAAAAAAGTTTTACAAAAATTAAAGCTTAAAAAAAATAAAAAAGCTTACAAAAAATAGTCAAAAATTAAAATAACACCAAAATGTTTTTAAAGTCCCCCGCTCCCCCCCCCCCCACATATACACGCAAACATGTGTCGGGTGCGCCTACGTGCAAAAACGATGATTCCGCCTATTGTGCCACACATGTTACATATTGCTGCAAACGTCAACGTATGAGCAATAATTCTAGGGCCATTGATTACTGATAACAATCAACTGATGAGCGGTAAAAGCTTTTAAAGCGTCACCTATCGCCAATTTTGGGTGTGTTGAGGAACCTGTCCTTGGGGCAGCAGAGAGAGTAAATCCGCCGGCCCTGGTCTTCAAGTGGTTAATATTTAGTGAGTCAGTGATCAGAAACAAGTAAAAGGGACAGGAGTTTGGTCCAGTCACTCATAGTAGTGATGCAAGGATAAAGATGATGGGTTTAAAGGTAGGATCGATAAACAACAATTCAGCAAAGTTCACTTTAACATTGACATATCTTCAGCAAATTAAGAAATTGCAATGGGAAATAACATGCATTACATTTACAAATGAAGTAAACTGGTCTCTATGTTACTTATTCAGTTAATTGCTTAACAATTTTGTAAGCACTACTAAACTGTGAAAAACCCATTGTTCCCATGAATTGTTTAGAATATTCTGTACATACACTGGGACAGCAAGGAGAACACCACAGATACTGTAAATCACAATGCCAAAGTACATGTTGTTTAATTTAAAAAAAAATGTCAGTTATCCAAAATAATTCTTATCACACACTGTTTCTGTAAATTTTATGCACCCTCATTGGCCAATCAACATTGACCCATTTTAGCAACACCCTCTGAACATCGACCCTCTTGTACAGTTTACACAGGTCTATCAGCTGCTCCACAGTCCTTTCACTGTTCCGAAGCAAGAAGCCAATAGTAGGACTCTGTGCTCCAGACTTTTGCTCCAGAAAGCAAAGCTCGTCATAATTCATACCCCATTTGCTTGCAAGGTTCCTCCAGTTCTTAATAGTGGGATGGCAAGGATCCAGTTTTATCTTCAGGGTATACAGAAGATCCTCATCATTCAACAAGTCGCTGATTGTTGGGATGGAGTTGCGTATATCACTGGTTTCTTTATAGGAATTGGTCAAATCTGTAAAAAATTATATAGCAGCATAATATGACCATTAACTAAGAAAGAACAACACAGAGAAAAAAAAACAAAACGTAAGCTCTACTAAATGCACATAAGAGCTGTACTCCGATTAAGCACTAATAATAATCTTGGAGAAAGAACAGTTCTGGTGATTAGAACTATTTAATGGCCATATCTAGCATAGGCACAACAGTACTCCAAATTTACCAAGATGAAAAAAGGTAGAGAAGATTCAATTGAGAAGAGTGGCTTTCTGAAAGCAAATCAACATGCACAGTGATCTAAGGTGTGCAGACTTTTCCGATGGAAACTAGTGTTGCATGAAATGTGGCTCAATAATTATACCTGCTTGCTACCAAACCTAGATTTTTATCAAACTTACTACTGTTTGACTAAATGATCCTCATCAATTCAAGTTGCCCAGTATGGGCTATATTTTCTGGAAGAAAACACAATGCTTGGAACAATGAGGACATATCACAAGAAGCTTAAGAAAGTTATATAAAGCATAACAAAAATTATTTACACTATCAAGGAATGCCTGTTCCTTAAACCTCTAATTTGATATGGTGGGTTTTAGATAAAGTATATGTAAACCCTAATAATAAACTTCTCTTATTTGTGTCATTTTGCCCTTTAAATATACATGAAAGCGTTTTGTATGATGTTTGATAGGCGCAAAAGATACCTATTGATCCCGCCGGAAATCCAGTATTATCTGAAGCAGTCTAATCAACCCTTCCCAGTTCATGTTTGTGAACTACAGACACCTAAGGTGATAACATTGCACTTTAGGAGGTACAGTATAGTGAGTGAACAATGTCACTATGACCAGAGCCGTAGCTAGCTCCTTCTGCGGACAAGGCAAGAACAAAAAATTGTGTCCGTCCCCCCAACAGGCATGTGACGTCATGCGCCCCACCTCCAGGATGTTTTTTTATTTATTTTTTACTGATGTGGGGGGCTTTGGAGAAATATCAATGGTCTAAATAGACCCCTGATATTTCCCTTTTGAAATAGAACAAGAAAATGAGGACACAGAGTCCTCAGTCTCTTTTTCTGCAGCCTCTGTTCTAAATTAATGGATAGCACTCAGTACACAGGCTTCCCATTCATTCAGAAACTACTGATAGTAAAATATTTACGGAGTGCTACTACTCATTCTGAAACTCATGAATGAACAGGAAGTGATGTAAAGCATTTCCTATTCATTCATACCTTGGGGCACATAGTACTATGTGTCCCCAGTTATTTACAAACATTGGAGTGATCACCTGAAGTGATCAGTAAATATCAATAATTAGACATGTGCGATTTTTTCGTTCCAAATCGAAATTCGGACGAAATTTCGGAAATTCGTGGAATCGGAGGATCCGAATTTCCGAAATGTACCATGTACGAATCCGAAATTCCAGATCCGAAATTTCGGATTCGGAATATTCGGATTCAGTACAAATTTCGTCCGAATGGAAACTAAATTAGAAATTTACGACAATGATTACAAAAAGAGGATTTCATAGCATGTGAACATTAAAACAAAACATTACTTCATGTTCCAGTGCATGGATAAAAAAAATTAAGAAAGGGATTTTAATGTCCCTTTAATAGTGAAGACTAGAGCACAGCAACCAGAAATGTCAACTGTGCCAATTCTGCTACATACGTGCGTACGAACATTCGTCTGTTCGTGCTAAATCCCAAATTTCGGAAATTCGTCCGAATTACGAATCCGAATTCTGAATCCGATCCGAATTCTGAATCCGATCCGAATTACGAATCTGATCCGGAACTCAAAACGAAACACATACAGGACCCGATTTCGTAAATACGAAATAAACGAAATCCGAAATGAAACTAAACGAAACAATTTTTTTGCGGCTGCACTTGTCCATCAATAATATTTACCGATCCTTCGCTCTCCATCCTGAGTCCCTCAGCCACACACAGAGGAGCAGCACAGCCAGCAGCTCCCCTTTCTATCCCCCGCTTCCCTTTGGATCTTTCTCTCTCTCCTAACCGCTCGGCAATCCTGGATGACAGCTCCCTCCGCCCACCCGCCGGCTTCAGCACTCCATTTCTCCTTGGATCCCTGCTGCATACAGGCACGGGAGAGCAGCGGGGATCTGAGGAGAAGCTACAGGCTGTGCCACTCCTCTATTCCCTGCCGTCCTGTGTTGGCCGCCTGGCGCCCTATGCTGGCCACGGCAACAGGGGTGAGGGCCCATGGCAACAGGGACGAGGGGGCCAGCCTGCTTGCGCCCCCGTCACAGCTGCGCCCGAGACGAGTGCCTCACTTGCCCTTTCTGCGCCCCTGACTATGACAAAAAGTGTTTAATGACAGAGTTACCAGGTAACATTGAAGGAAAAAAATCCTAAGAAAAAAATTGTAATATATACCAATTTTTGTTCTAGGATTAAGATACACTTGAAGTGGAAGTATCATTGGTTATGATGCCTAGATAGTATTTTAATATGTTTCACTATCAACATTGTTTTTAGCGAGGCTTCAGATCATAGGAAGTGACATGTCACACAGTCATGTACTATGGCACATTATGAACTTAAGAAACATAAAGGATGTTTCCCGAAGATCACTTAACCTCGCCATCTGCACAGCATCATATATGATCCAGTAAAATGGCAATGTAAGTACATGATTTGTCAAAGATGGCTGTATAAGTATGACAGTCACAGTGTATACCTTTGGTAGTCCTAGGCCCAGGCACTGGGATATTGCACCCCATGTTCCCTGCTTTGTGTCCCATGTCAGTGATATCTTACACTTAAGTGCTACATAGGGGTTCCTGCAAAGTTGTGGATGACACTACTGACACTTTACCTGCATAGCAGTAAAATGCTGACATAAACCACAGGCATATCACAACTCCCAGGATTTTTGCTGGTGGAAGATCCCTTGAGGGAGGGGGTGATTTTTGCTTAGGAGAAGGGAGATATTTTTAGGATAGGATTTTTGATAGAGGGTGATTTTTCACTTGGGGGGAACAGGGGCGATTTTTCTGGAGGAAGATTTCTGCTTGGGGACAGGGATGGTGAAAATCTATGCTGTGGAAGGGGATTTCTGGTACATACACTTTACTATTATATGTCACATACTTATGACTGTAGCATTCTTTATGTTAGGCTGTTCATTGCACACTCCTGATCACTGCATTCTATTCACTGGACTTTACATTGCATACTTACCCCTGTACATCATATACTCCTTACCCCTGTGTTATATACATTATGTTACCCATTGCTTACTCAGTCAGTACCTATGCACTTTATATGCTTATAGTAGATACTAGGGATGCACCGATACCACTTTTTTAAGGGCGAGTACGAGTACCGATACTTTTTTTCAAGTAATCGCCGATACCAATTACCGATACTTTTTCTTAAAGGGACATGTCACATTTTTTCTAAAGCAATACAAAATCATGATTTTAGGTCAGTTTCTTAATATTATGAAGAACATGAACATGAAATGAATATTTATCATGCCATTGCTAACTAAGGCTTGTATCCCCATAGTGGGGAAAATAGGTGAGCACATGTCCAGACCAGAACATTGTATAGTGTGGCACAGCTATATCCAATTCTGCATACCTGGCTTTATATTATAAGAACTTTATAATATAAAGCCAGGTATGCAGAATTGGATATATCTGTGCCACACTATACAATAATCCGTCACTGACGCACACCCCTTTGTGATGTGTAGCTGCCGGACGTGGAATGCCCCTACTGCATTTGATTGTCCAGGTGTAGTAGATGTCACTGACAGCTTTGCAACTTGGGCAAACTGGGGTGAACTTGGTTCTAGCCAAATTTTATATGGGGCCCCCCAAACCGCCCCAACACCCTCCTCCGTAACCTACCCCCAGAACATGTTCCCGTGCCTGCGCCGTCTTTGTAGTTATGCGGAACAGGTACTCGTTTTTTGTATTGGAGTATTTGCATGAGTACGAGTACTCATGCAAATACTCGGTATCGCCGCCGATACCGATGCTTGTATCGGTATCGGTGCATCCCTAGTAGATACATTATCCTAACCAGAAAAAAGTGTAAAATCTCTGCACTACTCTTGTGAAAAAATTATGATAACGTGATAATCACAAAAATTACTATAATTTAGAGCAGCTAACACAAATGTGCAACCACTAACACCATAAAAAAACCTCCATATACTGTATGTATTTTGCTTGGGATGATATTGGCAATATCCTTATTCTTCTTTACAATCTTGAGAGGAATTTGCCCTCCCACCCTGGGGGCTTCCTGCTCCTATTCCCACCCACTTTCTTACCTTCCACATCTCAATTGCACGGTCATTTGTTTTGGTCACAATTATTGAAGAGTTTTCAGTGTTTTGCATACTTTATTGATTGGAGCGCTGCACATAGTTTATATACATAATTCTAGCCAAATTGTCATTATTTAGAGAGCCGTGCAGGTAATGTCTAATTTGTAGTGCATTAGGGTGCACTTCCAGTCTATCATAAATGAATGCGCTATTATAATGAAGGCATGTGTGAGGGCCCAGTCACACTACTACCGTATATACAGTGCGTTCCGGCGCAGTCTAAGCGCGGAACGTACAGGATCACACAGATCAGGCCAGGCGCCATTCATGTCAATGGCACTGCAGGCACGCACCCCGCCTGCATTGCGATCTCTCGCACCAGAACGCACGATACAGGAATGCCCTCTGTTCCGGTGCAGTGCGATCAGAAAAAAATACTGCATGCAGCATTTTTTTCCCCTTGCACTGCACCGGAATGGAGGGCATTCCTGTACCTCCTGTTTTCGTGCGGGCGATCACAGTGCGGGCGGGGGGCCTGCCTGCAGTGCCCTTGACATGAATGGCACTGCCACGCCCCCTCCCATCCCAGAACACAGGCTCGGACTGTGCCAGAAGGCACTGGATATGGTGTGACTGGGCCCTAAATGCACAATAATGCACTGCATTGATGCAAGTGCATTAATGCAACAAATTGTTTAAATGGATCCTTAGATAAGATCAAATCAGCTTACATTCTCATTGGGTGATCTGGATTCTGGTTAGTGGAGACTTGATCCAGTCCCTACAGTCCATATACCCATCGAATTTAGAACCGCTGTTCCATTAATAAGAAGTGGGTGCAACGGTTGTCGACGGGTGGCTTCCCGCCTCAATCTACAAATAGAAGAATGGACACCGGCACTCCAATGGCAAATCAAGTACATCTATTTATTGACATACATACTGCATAGCAAAATACACTCAGTGCAGCTTTTTGGGATCCTGTGAGACCCCGGAATGAGTGTATTTTGCTATGCAGCATGTACATCAATAAATAGACATACTTGATTTGCCATTGGAGTGCCGGTGTCCATTCTTCTATTTGATCCAGTACCTCATGCAACTCCACAGCACAAGATCACTTCTCATAGTAATCTATTGCTGACTGCAGTCAGTAAATCAACAGATCAGAATAGCAGTGATCTACTTCATTACGAAGATACTGGAGAGAGCTGCTTCAGCCCTGCCCGAGCCTCCATACTAACAGGAAGTGCTATGACATCACTTATAAGGTCATTTCACTTCCAATGTAAATATAGCGCAGAAGCATTGTTTTTACAGATCCTGCTACAAACGCTCCTATGGATCGCTCAGGAGCAGAAGCCCAGGAGCTGTTTGATTCAGCTACTGGGCTTAGTGCTGGACTTAGGGTTGCCCCCTATTTTCAAGTGAATCCCGGACATTCTAGCACCACGCGCACAGCAATTTTATGGGGGGAGAATATAGAGAGTGAAGAGAGGCAGCCAGGAGAAAGAGCAAGAAGAGAAAGCCAGGGGAGGGAGAAAGGAGGCGGTCTACAAAGGACTACAAATACCAGCAATACATTCAAATAACCATTCAATATATGCCTACACTCTAACTCTATAGACACTGGCCTGCTCCCCTCCAAGAAACATTTTCAGTCGGTGGTATTTTACAGCTGGGGACAGTTCTGAAAAACAGTGACATCTGCAGGTGAAACTCGAATAATTAGAATATCGTGCAAAAGTAATTGCAGTAAGTGCTGCAAAAGGGGCCCAAACCAAGTACTGAGTACATATGCATGCTTGTACTTTTCAGAGGTCCGATATTGTTCTATGTACAATCCTTGTTTTATTGATTGCATGTAATAATCTACTTTTTTGAGGTTGTGGATTTGGGGTTCTTGGGGTTTTCATGAGCTGTAAGCCATAATCATCACAATTATGACAAATCACAGCTTGAACTATCTTGCTTTGCATGTAATGAGTCTATCTCATATATTAGTTTCACCTTTTAAGTTGCATTAGTGAAATAAATGAACTTTGCACAATATTCTAATTATTCGAGTTTCACCTGTAAACACTGTAACTGGTCATGAAAAAATGCAAAATAATGAAGTGCAGAATTAAAGCAAATGTAAACCCAAGTATAAAATGTTATATGTTGCAGCTTACCAGCCCTTAGATAAAGCATCTGCATTATTTTTTTTTTAGACCTGCTGATTCTGCCAGTAACACACTTTCTATCCTAGAGTGACAACATCACCGTATTTATGAAGAAGCAGCGTTGTCACTCTAAGGCAGGAATACAGAAACCTCCTCCTCTTTTCTTCTCTATAACATAGAGGGAAGGGTTCTGTAGTCCCCAGAGATAACAGAGAACAAAGAAGAAGATAAGACTTCAGCACAGTCAAACAGATAAAGGAAAAAACTTTTAATGGTAAATTTAACAGACCAAAAGGGACCAAATAACAGAAGTACATTTTTAGGGGTTACATATACTTTCATCCCAGGAGCATAGCTAGCATTTGCTTTGTAAAAACTTGTTGTTCTATAAAGGGCACCTGGGATGAGATTGAGGATGCTGGGACCAAAGAGCACACTTGTGTAAACACACAGTTCCTGAGCTGCTGAGAGTTTCAGTCTCTCTCCAATCTCAGCCACTTCCGTTTCCTCTGGTGTGAAGGGTTTCATGATGCTCCTATCACCAGGGATGCATTTCGGAGAAATATCTCCCCTTCATCAGCCTGACACATACACAAGCACACTCATCGGTCCCAGCATCCTCGATCTCACCCCATCGGCTTATCCCCCTATAAGGCGTCCCAGAAGAATGGGATACTTTCCTCCCTCTGCTGTGTTTCGGGCTTTCACACAACCTACACACTTGAGTGCATTTGATTTTATTCATAAACTTTTATCAAAGTCTAATTTGCTACACTGAGATCCTGAGAGTGCCCTTCCTCTATGTTATTCAGAACTTTCAAGGCAGGACATTGTGGCTGAGAGTGTGGCAACATTTTTATTTTATTGCACAAATGGATACATAATATACAGCTTGGAATGGACAAGTTGTATTATATATTGCTACCTATGTACTACTTAATATATCAGTGTTTGTGGAGTTTCTATTTTTTTTTTTATTGTTGGGGGGGCTTCAGGGAAATATTATGGGTCTAAACAGATCCCTGATATTTCCTTTTTAAAAAGGAAATTAAGGACACAGAGTATAACATGGAGTATAATGTATAACAAGTGTACTGATCTCTATCCACTCTATTCAAAACTAAAAAAAAGGTTTTAGCATCAATTCCACTTTAAGGTTAAGTTTCAAGGTTAGGGATTAAGTGTTGAGACAGATTATGTGTTAAATTAATTTAAGTTAATTTAAGGTTAAGGTGCAAGACTTTAGGTTTAGTTTTAAAGGTAAAGGCAGGTTAGGTTTTAGGCTGCAAATACATACCCCAATTATTGCAAAATATAGTGGGGGGAATTGATCAAAACTGGAGCATACAGAATCTGGTGCAGTTGCTTAAAATAATAAATCCGCTTTTCTCTTTAGTGTGTTCAGATAAGTTTAGAAAATGAAAGAGAGAAGCCGCTTGATTGCCATGGGCAACTGCTCCAGATTTTTCCCCGTACCAGTTTTGATAGCTTCCACTCAATGAAATTGCAGTTATTTATAAATAACTGACTGAATTGTAGAACGCTTACCAGATAGAGCATGTATAGAAGTCACAGGCCAGTCATTTTCTTCTGGCTGAAAGATTATTTAAAACACAGGTTTAACTACTTGCATAATTTAATTTCAAATGATAATTTTCAATGAACCAAAGCTATAATGTAACCTAGATGCTAGATATATGCATAATACATTTTAATAGCATATATAAATATATATTACGGATGCACCAATACCCAGGTGAGACCCAAACGCAGCCCTGGTGATACCTGCATGCAGCCCTGGTGAGACCCAAAAGCAGCCCAGGTGAGCCGGTTTCCATTCTCCATTGCTGTATAATCCTGGATTGAGTTACAGTTCTTCACAATTATAAAGAAACTGCCCTAAACTCATTAGTCTGTATTGTTTTAGAAAACATATCACATGTCCCTTTAAGAAAAAGTATCGGTAATTGGTATCGGCAAGTACCTGAGGGAAAGTACTTGTGCATGGTCTTGAAAAAAATGGTATCGGTGCATCCCTAAAATAAATAAATAAATAAGTATATATATTGTGCCTTACCTGTTTTATTCTGTCCGAATCTGGTATTGGCGCTAAAGAAGAGTCAGCTTCTTCCACCACGACATCGTTTCTTGAGCATGTGTCATCATCTACAGAATGAGAACAGATCAGAACTTTGTCTTTAATGTATATCAACAATATATAAAGTGATCCATTTGCAACTTTTCAGCTCAAAGGTTAAATATATTAAAAACTAGAGTAATATTTCAGCTACAAAAAATAAATGAAACTTTCAATATTTCGAGTGGGGCTTTGGGCCATGATGGAAAATCTGTAGGTCCGCACCACTGGCGTGTCAAGACATCAAAAAAGGTAGCAGTTGATTCAGCTTGCCAGCATCTACAGAAATTTTTTTAATTAAGGGTGTGTTTTCCCCTTTAAATTTATGATAAACCGTATGCACATGGATGCAGTTAAACCTTCACACATCTTTAGGGGAAATGAAAACTATGTGCAGTCGCATGCAACATGCAGGCTTGTCCCAGTACTCACCAATGCGGGTGCAGTGCAGATTTATGTACAAATTAAGTGTAAAAAAGGATGAAACCGCTGAGAATGTGGCACTGGACACATATACACAGCAACTTAATTGAGTTTGTAGAAATTATACATAGTCCTGACCAGATCTGGTAGACACAACTTTATACATCGAGCTTAGTAATGCAGTCCTTTACACTGAACTTTCCAAATTCAATTTTTTACGTTGAGGAGCTTCTTTCAAAATCTAAGGCTACAAGGGAAGATTACCTTGTTCAACCCCTCCTCACTCCTGGCCATACTTATTTGGTGTGAGTGGTTCTTCTGTTTAACAATTGGTCCCCTTGAGTATTTTTTGAGCATCTTACGTGAGCTGAACAACAACAGACACTGACTCTTTTCCTATGTGGAGCCAGTGTATTTAGCACATCTTGGGGTGGCTCCTGCCACATACACGTACATCAGGACTTAGTAATGCGCTGGGCTGACGTGTGACAGTTTCATTGTCACACGTCGGCTCGAACTATGAGGTTGAGTGAAAATCTCTCACCTCATAGTTCTCCTTTAAAATTACGCGCACCAGTGAAATTGCAAAAAAACTACCATACCTAAAATTGCCCATACGCGACGCTTTAAAAGCTTTTACCACTCATTAATTTAGTGTTAACAGTGATTGATGGCCCTAGAATTATTGTTTTCTCTCCGGCGTTTGTGGTGATATTTAACATGTGTGGCGTAATCATCATTTTTGCATGCAGGTGCATCCAACACATGTCTGCCTTTATGTGCGTGTACAGGTGAAACTCGAATAATTAGAATATCGTGCAAAAGTAATTGCAGTAGGTGCTGCAAAAGGGGCCCAAACCAAGTACTGAGTACATATGCATGCTTGTACTTTTCAGAGGTCCGATATTGTTCTATGTACAATCCTTGTTTTATTGATTGCATGTAATAATCTACTTTTTTGAGGTTGTGGATTTGGGGTTCTTGGGGTTTTCATGAGCTGTAAGCCATAATCATCACAATTATGACAAATCACAGCTTGAACTATCTTGCTTTGCATGTAATGAGTCTATCTCATATATTAGTTTCACCTTTTAAGTTGCATTAGTGAAATAAATGAACTTTGCACAATATTCTAATTATTCGAGTTTCACCTGTATGTAGGGACGAGGAGATTTTGACAAATATTTTTGTGTTTCCAACATTTTGGAGTTCTCCCTAACTTTTTGTCTCTGAGAAGGGGTCTTTTGAAAAGAAAGCCAGATGAAGGTATTGTCAGTTGAAGAACTGTGATATCTGTGAGAGGTAATAAATACTCATAAGTGTTAAACTTGCATGCTTGGCATGCATTGACTTAACATGAAAATATATATATCATGCCGGGTCCACTTCAACTTACACATTAGTTGCCTGTAAGGAAACATGACAAACGCTTTAGCGCATTGGAAATACACAACATCCACAGCCACCCTTTTGTCTAACAGGGTTATGCACAAAACGGTGAAGAGTTTGGAGAAGGAAGGATAAGTGAACAATCTAGGCCAAAAGAGCTGACATTTTTCCAATTCAGCTCACTTTCCAGTTCAGCTATGTTGTCCTAGTTAACTACTCCTGGCTTCAAACTCTTCACCCTTGTGTTAATAACCTTGTACGTTTCTGCTTACTTCCACAAAAAGGAATGAAGATTTGATAGACAACTTCCAGTTTTAATTAATCTATGCTGGTTACTACTTATGCTATTTATTCCAAAAAAATACTCTTGTGTGTGGTCTTTTACCAGTTCCTTTAAATATGTTCACTACAATAGAATGTAAACCTTGAGGTCTGATGTTACTGGATAAAAGGTCTTTATCTCTTTTTAAAGCAGAGCTTAAAGGAGAACTATGAGGTAAATGTTTTTCCTCATAGTTCTCCTATGGGTCATGGGAGGACATAAACTACACTTTTAGGGGTTTACTTATAAATGTTCTGCCCAACTAAACACTAGTAGAATGATGAATTTCCTTTGTTTCTCTGCTCAATCTATAGGCAAGAATGCCATGTAAATGGCATTCTACCAGTGTATAACTTGGTGAGAACTATGAGGTGAGTGCTTTTCACTCACCTCATAGTTCTAGCCGACCTGTGACAATGAGACTGTCACAGGTCGGCTCAGTAGATCGGGAAGTGAGCGAACACATACCGGCGTTCGCTCACTTCTCGATCCTGTCACGGCTCTCTGCCGTGACAGGGGAGGGGCTGGATTCCCCCCTCCCCGCTCCGATCCTCCAGCGCTGACTGGCGGAATGGACGGGGAAGGGGGCGGGTATAGCTGGCTCTGCCTCTAGATAGGCAGAGCCAGCTGTCACTCACGCAGCTGGGCGGATCCAGACATAATTGTCGGGATCCGCTTCAGCTGCGGCGTCTCCGTATACTGCGAGCTGTAGCTCGCGGTATACTGCGGGGTCTCAGTATACCGCTAGCTGTAGCTCGCGGTATACTGAGGTTAGGGCCCCGGAGGACTCTAGTTTGTGTCCTCCAGTTACCCTAAGGAGAACTATGGGGAAAAGCCCTAACCCCATAGTTGTCCTTTAATTCATGTGCCCCCTTTCCCTTCTTGCCTCAAGGCTGTACATATTAAGTTCCTGCAGTGTTTCCTGATATGTTTTATCCCTCAGTCCTATTACCATTTGTGTTGCCTGCCTCTGGACTCATTCTATCTTATCAATATCTTATTTCTAAATAAGGTCTCCAGAACTGGATGCTATTCTATATGAAGACTAGTGTAAGCTCTGTATAGTTAAATCAAGTCCTCCTTCTTCCTGCTGCTGTTTCTGGAGATGCACCCCAGCTTTCTATTTCCTTTCCCCATTCCTTCCTCATGGTCTAATATGAGTTATTTTTTGGAGAGACCAAGTCTTTTCACTATTAATATATGCAAAGAACTTTATGGGACTTTTCCTACTCACAGCAAACTGTTATTCATTTTCGGCTTTGTCTGATTTACCTTTGTTAGCTTAAGTTGTACTGTTTGTAACTCAAATTAAGGCAGTATTTCTCCAATTTTGTATATTTTAAACAACTGTTTTATATTGTTTATGACGCTTAACACTAGAAGTGAGCCATACAGGTTTTGTCTTTAGGGCTCATGCACACAGATGTAAAAAATGGTGCATTTTTATCAGCACGTTTTTATGGATTGCATTGCTTACTAAGGTACTCATTCACACATAGTTACATAGTTACATAGTATTTGAGGTTGAATAAAGACATATGCCCATCAAGTCCAATAACATAAAGTTTTAACCCTAATTTCTGATGATAAACAGGCATTTGTTTGTACTTAAACAGATATAACAAAATGTTATTTAATGTGATATTTACCTGACTAAAAGGGAGGAAGCAAATAGGAGATGTGCATAAAGTTCAGTAGAGTTTAGATCCATTAAAAAAAAATAAAAAAATCTGTGTCTAAGGTGCTGTGCATGGACCATATTGTACATTGTACACATGTAAATGTTTGTGCTAACATTTACATGTGTACAGTGCAAATGCACTCTCTTGGAGCTGCATGCATCCTAGCAACAAAGGATTCTAGGCAGCAGGATTTAGGCGGCTTGAGCGCTCTATTGTCCTAGCAGCTTTGTGCTATATGTACACATGTAAAGGTTGCACAAACAGTACTTTTGTACCCTGTATAGAGCAATTTATACGCAGGATCTTGTTGCCAGCTTCTGCCAGCAAGATCAAGCATTCCAGTTGTTGCCTATTTTCATACGGCTGTGTGCATGAGCCCTTAACTTTTTAAACTTATGGCTCAGAAAAATAAATTGTATAATAAGTTTAAAAAAACACTCCCATTTATCTTCCATGTCTTCTATTGGCAAGATTTCTTCTCAATCTATGTTTTGGAGAGTGGCCCTCAGCATTAGAACGTTATCACACTTAAAGTATATGTACAAGATGTATATAAAACAATGAACATCTCCTATTTGCTTCCTCCCTTTTAGTCAGGTAAATATCACATTAAATAACATTTTATTATATCTGTTTAAGTACAAACAAATGCCATTCAAAGCTGTCCTGTGTCCTTTGCACATTAGTCATCTCAAGTCGATGTTCGAGCCGAATGTGAGTTCGACTCGAACATCGCTAGTTTGTGTGTTCACCGAGCTGTTCGCCTGCCGAGCGCCCCATATGGCAATGTGCCTTCTGAAGCCATAATTGACTAAAGCCCACAGGTCAGGTGCAAGACTTTGCCCAATAAGAGCACAGAAAACTGTGAGAGCCATGATTGGGCAAAATCACGATGACTTTGCCCAATCATGGCTCACCTGTTACAACTGTAAACAGTTGGGCGGAGCTAGCTGTCACTGCTCAATTTTTGGTTTTTATTTTTTAATAGAGGAAAAATCCTTTGTTGTGTTTTTTTCCCCCTTCAAATAAAGAATTTTTGATTAAAGTCTAATGTTTTTATTTAATCTTTTATTTAACCATTCACAAGGGGGGGGGGGCTGCATTAAAGGCGTACCCTGATGTGAATAAGCCCCCTGCCCACACCCCCACAACCAAAGCCCTGCTAAAACATCCTGGAATTTTTACAGATCTGGAACGTAGGAGATTAAGTGGA